AAAAAAAAAAAAAAAAAAAATACAGGATGAATCCCTGGCACACTCTGTAACAAAAGATATCATCTCCTCTCCTTTCCCCTCCTGACACTGAAGACGGAGGAAGCCGACATGTGATAGTCAGCATTCTCACGTCACTGGAGCAGAAGGAGCCCGAGAGGATCTTTAATAAAACAGACGCATCCCTGCAGCCTGGTAGTTAAATCAAGTGCCCGAGACTCTTATATGGACAAGGTGATACAATCTCCTGAAGGAGGTCGTTTCGGGCTGGATTTAGCTAACAGGCTAGCAACTTTGCACTTATAAATAAGATGTGAGGAGGGGTGGGAAGCGGTCATCATGACATTTTGCCAATCTGTATCTTCTTCCAGGCCTCAGAAGCAGTGAAAATACAGGAGTCGATGATCCCCGCGACTGTGAACGTCCCCCCGACGATGGCACAAATCTACAAAAAAAGAAAGAAAATGAAAAAAACAATCCTGTCAGGCTTCATATTTGAGCTTTGATGTCTTCTTCTTAAGTCTCAATATCAGCTGGGCCTAATCCTATTTATCAAAACAATGCTCTGCGCCAACGCCACGGAATTTATTGGAATCCAACAAAAAGCCCTGCTGTAGGCTGACTCACAATCTTGAGCCGTGACTCATGATCACATTAAAAACACAGTCATCTCCTACCCATGCCTTAAGTCATGATAAACCTAAACAACACACAAGACGAATAATGGCGTAGCTCATCAGGCAGGCTGCCAACTCAAGCCTGACCGCATTATCAGTCAACAGGAAACTTTCTGATGAGGTGCTACAGGTTACGCCAAAATTCCACCGATGACAAAGGGAGTTCAGCAAGTTAGGAAATGGTCATTAAGTTTCATACCAACAACACGAAAGCTTCATTCAGAAGATGGTTAGACTTTGGTTAGCACAAAAACTAGAAAAAGGAGGGAATGGCTAGCCAGGCTTTGATCAGAGATCAACCCAGCAGCTTTATTCTTAACCATGTTAGCAAACATTTGAACGGCTTATTTTCTATCTGTTACTGGGCAGTGAGGATGTTTAATCACAAAGCTGAGATATTTAGCTAAAATGCATGAATGCTAAACATAACTGAAGGGAAATGCAGGACTTCTCTCCACGTATATGTTTTCTGTTTAGGATCAATGAACCATAAAGCTGTTGCTTTTTGTGATCTACAACAAAACTGGCTGAAATGTAGACCCAGACCATGGCAGTACCTCCACCGTGTTTTACAGAGGGCTGTCGACACTATTGTACCACTCCCCTGACCTAAAAATAATTTTCAGTCGATGTTCTGTGTAATTCGCCATACCTCAGCTTTTTCTCCTCATTTCCTTTCCTTAAGAACGGCTTCCTGACCGCTACCCTTACACTGATGTCAAATTTTAATTTAACTTTAGCGAACAGCAGATGAATCAACTGAAGGGCCAGATGTATCTCTCAGGTCACTTTCTTCAGAACATGCCTTTCAGAAGCCTGACACGTCTTCTGTTGTCATCTATTTCTACAGTTTTCTCATTTTTTTAAGTCTCCAGCTCTTTGGGAATCACTTTGTTGTTGCACAAATCCTATTTTATGCCCACCAAACTGTTATCTTTGGCATTTTTCATAGACTTAACTAAAGAAACTGGAATAAAGGAGCTTTTGTGATAAAAACAAAGTGCCTAAAGATACGATCTAAAATGTGTTATTTGCCGAGTTGTATGTTATGTGTAAACACAACACTAGTTCATTCACTGGGTCAGGTGCCTTTTCTATCCTTGAATGATTCATATGTGGCATAACAAACAAACAGACAAGGTCACGTACACGACTGAAAATGAGTGAAAAAGCAGCCAAAGTCCAGAGAAAAACTGTGAAAGACTTTCAGAAAAGCTGGAAAATGATTACTTAAGCCCTTTAAAAACAATTCAAGAATATCTGGCTCATCGAAAGCAAAATATAATGAAATAAGGCGTGGTTCAAGACTTTTGCACAGGATAGTAAAAAGTTGATCTTTGGACTTGAACTTGAAAGACCTGTAATTCAAATAAAAGCGGCTTTGTGTTTACTCACTGTTGTGATGAAGCGGTAGAGGGGCTGTCTCCGCTCCGTGTACTTCACTGTGATCGGACTGAGATCGTACCTGAACCAGATCGCTGGGATAATTCTTCCCGTGTGGCTGTAAGCAACATATTCCTGTGTGTGGGGGGAAAAAAAAAAAGATTACAAGTGAGGAACTTAATCCCATTACGTTTATAAAATAAATCCGCACATATTCTCATCTACAGCGGTGGCAGTGGTGTTTGTGAGTCACTACAGAATCAGTTTCAGAATAAGTCACTCCACAGTCATAAATGATTCATTAAATATGAATCTCAGCTGAATATTATTCCAATGAAGCAATCTCGAGGAGGCTACAATGTAAACTGAATTATTGTTATGAGCTGACAAGGTTATCAGGCGGTGGATATAACTCCATTTCTCCAAAATCAGCGCTGCAGTAACTGCCCGACACAATAATGTTGACCACATTAAACACATTTAACACAACGCAGAAGAATGTCGCAGTCCAAGCTCGGATGCGGGCCTCAGCTGGACCACTATTTACGCTTTGGAAATTAGGTTTTGGAAATATTTTGCTCAGGCCCTTATTGTCCCTTCTTCACAGCTGACCTGCAGTGTTATTATTCCACACTCCACTCCCAGCTGTCTTCCTACACAGTTCTAGGAAGTGTTTTTTCTTTTTTTCCTTTATGGTTTGTTGACATCTTGAGAGTTTTTCCAGTCACTAGGATTGAGCTTTCACTTTCAGATGAGTGCAATGTTAACACGAGCTATACGTGCTCCGGCTGTATGCTGACATGGACGCGCTGCCTCTATGATGAGAAAAGGTCATCAGCTAATAAGTGCAGAGATGCGGTACCTTATTGGCTACTGTGTACTGATAAGAGAACCTCTGTCTGCCTGAGAGGTCTTCATACACTGTTGGTACAATCTTCAATATGTAGTCATGTGAAGCAAGAGCTGCAAGAGACATAACATTAATTAAATAAGACAAACAAAGCATTTTCAGTATTCAAGATGAATGCTGTCTTTGTAAAACAAGTTCCCATGTAGTTCTGTCCAGTGAGTGTCTTGTGACATTACATCATCCTGCGCTACATTGCCAAAGGTATTCACTCACCTACCAACCATTGAATTCAGGTGTTCCAATCACTCCCACAGTCATAGGTGTATAAAATCAATCACCTTTAATGTTCTACAAACATATTTTTAAAAATCGGTCGCTCAGTGAATTCAAGTGTGGTACCTTGATAGGATGTTGCCTTTGCAATAAGTCCAGTCGTGAAATTCCCTCACTACTAAATAGTCCAGAGTCGGCTGTTAGTGGTATTATAACAAAGCGGAAGTCATAAGCAATCAGCCATGAAGCGCCTTGTAAGGTCGCCAACTTTCTGCAGAGTCAATCGCTACAAACCCCCAAACTTCATGTGGACTTCAGATTAGCTCAACAGCAGTGTGTAGGGAGCTTCATAGAATGGGTTTGCATGGCAAAGAAACCACATGAAAGTCTTACATCACCAAGCTCAATGCAAAGCATTGGATGCAGTAATGTAAAGCACGTCACCACTGGACTCTAGAGCAGTGAAGACTTGTTTTCTGGAGTGACGACTCTGGCAATCTGATGGACGAGTCTGGGTTTGGTGGTTGCCAGGAGAACAGTACTTGTCTGACAGCACCGTGCCAAGCGTAAAGTCTGATGAAGAGGGGATTATGGCTCTGGGTTGTTTTTCAGTAGTTGGGCTCAGCCCCTTAAGTTCTATTAAGAACTAAGGGGCCCTTCCTGTTCCAATAAGACTGCGTACCAGTGTGCAAAACAAGGTCCATAAAGACATGGATGAGCAAGTTTGATGGCCTGCACAGAGTCCTGAACTCAATCTAACAGAACAGGATGAATTAAGAGCGGAGACTGTGAGCCAGGCCTTCTTGTCCAACATCCGTGTCTGACCTCACAAATGTGCTTCTGGTCAAAAACTCCCATAAACACACTTCTAAACTTCGTGGAAACTTCCCAGAAGATTTAAAGCTGTAAACGGTGGGGCAGCATATAAAACCCGATGGATTAAGAATATGATGACACTCAACTTCATATGTGTGTGAAGGCAGACAAGGGAATACTTCTGGCAATATGGTGTACGTAAGCACTGTCATAAGTTGGTCATAATTATTACATTTGCTGTCTAGATACATACGATTAGATGACATCTTGTCTGCCCCTCCTAAAGCATTAAAGGCTCCTTGGACTTTCTGTACCTGTGTGACAATGAAGAGAGAAAATTATTATTAATAATTATTGCAGATATTCTTCTCCACTTTCTCCATCTAAAAAAATAATAATAAAAAAAAAATGTGTCCCACCTGGAGCTTTTCTCCAAAGGCAAGCTTGTGGATGGTGTGGGTCATGTCAGGGCTTTGAGGCTGTGCTGTGGCACTATGTGTCGACACGTGGAAGTTTCCCGGTACCTGAACACAAATAAACACATTGAGGTGGGTTTGTGCCTAACATCACAAGCACCTGCAAGACATTTAGTTAGCTAATGAGGGAGCCTGAATGCATTTGGTTGGAAACTAAATGTTCCTTGCCTCCCAACCGCGCGTGTTTTACATATTTCCAACTACTTCCCCAAGCACGAGTGTCAATTGTTCAACTGCAGGGTTAATCACTGTAAATGCAGTGGAAAGACTGACGCACAAGATGCAGACGTGAGACAAACACAGCTTCATGGAGCCTAGATTATACGGATAGGTGTAACTAAATCCAAGCGCACCCTCAATTTAGCATAACTCAATTTAGACCCAAGAGGTTGGTGGGGGCAATCTCCATTTTTAACTCGAGTCCAACTCAAATATACAAGCTGACATTCAATCCAAGCTTGCTTGTCAGTAAAATACAAATATCAGCCCGACCCAGTCCATCACAGTGTTACTGGGCACAGAATAGCAATTTCCTGGAGGGAAGCAGTAGTATAAGTGATTCACACAGCATGTATGGATTAGGCTTCTCGCACTCTCAGATGAGGTCTTACTTTGTTGATGCTGAACTCTCCCTCAAAGCGGCAACCATCACCCTGGTTGAGGGGAATCTTCATGGAGTTCTCTATGTGACCGACCTCGTGGCGTCCCATCTCATCTTGGATGTCCAAACCCACCACTGAAAGCAAAGAAACACAAACTCAGACGAGTGCCAAGACGATCGGCCAATAAATCGTTTCGTTAAACAACAGAAAGGAATCAACAAACAAAAAACATTGACAGTTTTTGTGGGACTTATTTGTTTTAGTGATTACTTTAATCTCTAAGATATCCGGAAAACAATGACGAACTCAAGTGATTTTTTTTAACTCTACGACAAATATTTGCCTATTTTATTGATGAGTTTCAGCAAAAATCTGGGAGCATCACCACCTTCTGGTTAAATATGAGCAGCTGTTTGTTGTTGCTGTTTTATTCATTTTATTTTGAAAAACCAAACAAGCACTTTTTATTCAAAAAGAAAAAGAGAATATCTGATTATTACTGCACAAAGTGACCCACAGAGTAAACACACAATCAGACCATTTACGATACCCAATCACCCCCGTCTCCCCGTGTCGGTGTTTTTCCATCTAGACTTCACCCCTTTCTTTTAGGCTGCGGTGGCACACATTGGCAGTGGCCTATTTTCAGAGCCTGCCTGCATTTTATGTCACCCACGAGTGCATAGAGAGAGAGAGGGATGTCTGCTTGATCTGTGCTAAAAACTTCCACATGCCGTCTGTCTGACCTTTGACATTCAAGACGGGATTCTCCCCCCTCTCCAACTCTATCCAGATCTCAAAATACAGTGCATAAATATAAGTGACGTGTGTGCGTGTGTGTGTGTGTGTGTGTGTGTGTGTGTGTGTGTG